AGATACACTCCGACTCTGAAGGAAGCCCTGATTTAGTCGACTCTTACGACATGCTTGTTGGAAAGGCAGTGGGTCCGTTTTTGTTTTCAATGGGACCCCGGAACCCACACGGGGAGGTACCAGGTAATGTCCTAAGAAATAAAGTAGGTCATGGTGATATTGACCATATCAGCCACTGAGTGCAGATTGAAAAAGTAAGCAAGCAAATATCCCTTTTCACGCCTTAGGCGCATCAGGTATATGGGACTATACTGACTAATCGGCACTGAATGGGTAATGTGGTCAGCATTACGCCGGCCGTCTTTACTTTCCCAGGACAACCATCTTGGTACCAATTTTAGGCTGGGTCGACCTGCGACACCCCATACCATGATAAACATCCACGCAGCCAGCAGTGGGTTTCGATCGCGGTATGTTGGAATTACGAGTCGGACTTGCAACGCCTTAGCCATGGACGCCGCACTGAGTGCAAATTGGTGGCATATAAAAGGTTAGGTCTAGCACAATCTGCCTTCTTCTTCTTTAGTCCTCTACTGTCTTTCAGAGTCATGTCTTGAATAGGCTTCAGGTGACAAGCTTGGTGTGTGCTACATAGGAGATGCTCGTATTTACAGCCTTGGCTTTTTAATCTGTCCATCGCTTGTGTGGTCGACCTCTGGTTCTGCTTCATTATGTCTGAGTGACAGGGCTCTCTGTGGTGCACTGTCTGGTGGTAGTCTTGACACGTGACCAAACCATTTGATCTGTTGTCTCTTGATGTAGTTTAGTGCTGGTTCTGTCCCAACTTCTTTCCTGATGTGGTCATTTCTGATCCTGTCTCTTCTAGTTACATTTAGGAATTGCCAGACATTTTATTTCTGTTTCAATTTTTCTTTTGTCCTTTGCTGTCAGTGTCCATGTTTGGCCCTGACAAAACAATGCTGGTAAATATACTGTAATGAATAATGTTCTTTTGGCGCCAGTTGTTCACATATAGGTTTCTGGAGGCCCCGTTGTAGGGAAAACAAGAATAGACCTCCCCAACAAGCATGTCGTACAAGATAACTAATTGGGGACTTTCTTTGAAGTCAGAATGCATCTGCCCAAACAGCATGGAACAACCAACTGCACACTTATAAGCCAGTAAAATGGATGTACATGCAAAACTCAGGCCCTGGCACAAATCCAAAGTCCAATGTGATGCTGACCACATCTCCCATCTTGTGCCGATTGGTCTTTAAAATATAGGTCTAGCCCTATATGCCCTATACGCCTAAAGGCGGGGAAGAGGGTCCTTTACTTTCTTAAATTGTGAAGATTTCTTAACCAGAAACAACAGAGAAATAAAAATATGTGTTATGCGTATGATAAATATATTTGATAATTAACAAAGTGAATCATGACTTCAGGGCTGTATCCAAACATGCATGACTGAACCAAAAACAGTGAACAGATAGATAATCACAAACCTACCATACCACCTCTAGAAGTATAAACATTGCTTATAATAAAAAAAATATAACTAAAGAAAAAAGTTTGTTCCTTTAGAGCAGTGTACTGCAGCTTTTTTTTTTTTTTTTTTTTACCCCGTGGCCCATCAAAAGAGGGGGAATTGTATCTTGGCCCACCTGGCAGCTTTCAGACACAAGAAAAAAAACAGGGGGTCTCTGTGGTGAAGTGTTCAACCCATTTGCCTCGCACTCTGAAGGTTGTGGGTTCGTTCCATGGCTGCATCCTTCAGGTCACGAGTGCAATTTTTACTGAGATCCCTGGGGATTGTCACTGGAGCCACAGAGTTCATGCTCTGCATGGCACTCTCGGCAGGCGGCTAGCAGTTCTGCGGGACAGAGCCATATGGGTTTAAACCCAGTGCAATGAAGTGGATCCTCTTGACTTTAACCTTTAAATTAGTAACAAAAACAAACATAGACGGCAGTTTATTCATTAAAGCCGATGTTACACAGTTAAAATTGTTAGCTGATGCGACATATTGTGATCCTCATTCTTGATGTGTTAACCCTACAGACTGCAATCCTGGAAGAGAACAACTACCTACCCTAACCCGTTACTTGATAAGACACACAGTTACAATTTTTAGCTGATGTGACATCTTTTGAACAGACTGCAATCCTGGAAGAGAACAACTACCTACCCTAACCCGTTACTTGATAAGACACACAGTTACAATTTTTAGCTGATGTGACATCTTTTGAACAGACTGCAATCCCGGAAGAGAACAACTACCTTCCCTAACCCGTTACTTGATAAGACTTACAATTTTTAGTTAGCTGATAGGACATCTCTTGAACAGACTGCAATCTTGGAAGAGAACAACTACCTAACCTAACCCGTTACTTGATAAGACTGACATTTTTTTTTTGCCCACTGGTTGAAGAACATTGCTTTAGAGAACACTGCAAACCAACCTCAGCACTTGTTGGCTGTTTGTGGTTTCACCAGGCACTTTTTTAAAGTTCAAGAGTGGGTTCGTTCCATGGCTGCATCCTTCAGGTCACGAGTGCAATTTTTACTGAGATCCCTGGGGATTGTCACTGGAGCCACAGAGTTCATGCTCTGCATGGCACTCTCGGCAGGCGGCTAGCAGTTCATTGCTTCCTGAAAGGTTGGCTCACGATAACATTTTAAAATCAAAACAAAGCTGCCTAATCCAGCTACCAGTTTTCCCTGCGGGACTACAACTTAAAATAGCCACTTTGTGACTCAAAGAGGAGTCACTATTTAGATATAGATCAAGCACAAACAAACCTTGGAAAACATGTTCAACCAAATAGAAGTTTTACTGAAGCACCCTAAGATTACAAACTAACATGTAATAAAACCTAAAGTAAAAATATAAAACCACTGTGCATAGCACTTTACAGTAAAGACATTTTTAAAAAGTACATAAGCAACAATAACATATGCGACATATAATAAAACATACGCCAAAATATTAAAGATTATAAACAACATTAAAAGTTATGGTTAAACACAAGCAAAGAAATCAAGGTCAAAGTTTTGATGGAATGCATTATCACATAAGAAGATGAGTTGTGGACTAAATAGTCAATAAAGAAGAAAATACAAGCTTCTGAACTGAAATGCTATAGAAAGATTCCCAGACAACCACAGACCAAGAAGAAAAGAAGTACTGACATCCTAAAAGATCTAAACATCAAGGAAGATTGGCTAGTAAACAGGATCTTGTCTAGGAAACTCAAATATTTTGGCCATATCAAGCCCCAAGGTGGATTGGAAATAACAGTAGCTGAAGCTGTGGTGCCAGGAAAGAGGCGCAGGGACTGACCAGAATGAAGATGGGGACAGGATATAAGTGAAACCTTGGGTAGGAAATTGCAAGAGGCAGGAGATCTGGTGAGAGACCAAGTTTATTTCAGGCAGGCTGTGAAGAGAGAAATTCTACACACACACACACACAAAACATTGCTACACGATGAAGACCCCCAAAGCAGGACATTTTATCTAAGATATCAAAGCATGAAATAATAGCAACACTATCATACAATGGAAAAAATCAACCCAAATGAGAAGCTGAACTAGTCAACTCTCTCATAAAATACAATCATGTGAGAAAAAAGTAATACTGTGTCCAGAAAGACTTAATCATCATTTCCACTTTTGCCATTTAGCAGGGGCCGAAAGGTGGGTGGCAAGGTCAGAGCACGTTTTTATCAGGGTCATTCAACTTGCACTGACCGACATGCTCATTTTCATACTTGCCTCCGACTCCTGAGCCCAAGCTTGATAACTACCAAGAGTTATGAGTGTTGTGATAAAGTTCATTGCTGACCCACTCAAAGCACATTAACACTGCAATCATGGCCATGACGACAACACGAACAAACTGTATTAGAATGTGGACACAATCCACATGAGAACGTCCGACGTAGATACAACATGCTGAGCTCTGTTACTTTTAACCCCATTATTCTATCATTTCTTCACCGTTACAAACAATTCAACACACTATCTAACTCCATCTAACTCGGCAAGCAAAACCATCACTCATGTGGCATGGCCACATTACAGCCGCCCAGACCCTCCACCAAGACGTCTAGTCGACGACTGTCCCCAGCAGGTTCACAACCTGAGCTCACTTCCCTTACTTTAGGTAGTTCACGCGGCCTCCGTGACCTGTGCACACACCATGACACTCACATGTCCAGCACTTTTCTTAAAGTCCCACATTCATCCGGTCTGCACCCCCACCACAATCATGACAAATAGCAACACTATCATACAATGAAAAAATCAACCCAAATAAGAAACAGAACTAGTCTAGTCAACTTCCTCATAAAATACAATCATGTGAGAAAACAAAATTAATACTATGTCCAGAAAGACTTTGTCATCATCAATTTCCACTTTTGCTATTTAGCACCAGCAAACCCCTAATTAGTTGCCATTGATGACATGGTTGTTAAAAGGACAGTGGATCTATTATTTTTCTTCCAAAATGGGGCTCTGGAACCCAAACGGGGAATGAATTAGATTACAAATTGCTTGGCAGACAGCCTATGCTCCACTAGGAGTTAACAGGTAGAAGAGAAGAAGCAGAAAAAGCAATCAACTACCCTGTGTGTTCCTTTCTAGGGTCCATTAGTTGGTTATGGGTTTATGAACAAATTAATGAATGTGTGACTTACAGGTTAGTGAATGCATTTCACAATTTCATGATCCTTGTTGCACTAGGGTTCAACTTCAATGGTGGGTGGTTTTAATTAAAAAAAGTTATTGTGGCATTCATCCAGATGTACAGGCTTTACCCTGTGAAAGAAAATGGGACCTCACCCCATATTTATTTTCAGAAAAGATTAGGTGCACAGACGATTGGGTGCATGGCAACCAACCTTTAGTGTGGAGATCACACTATAGATAATTTAGTGATAAGAAGAAGAAGAAAGACAAAGATGATGAAGAACGAATCTATTCCTATAGAATGCAAATATTACAATCACATAAGTACTCATGTATTATAACAATTTATACTCCATAATAAACTATGCCGGTCGTTTCTTTTTCTTTAAATACTCTGGATATCCTCTACAAGCTGAGTCCATCAATTTCAGAAACTGCGGCACCCCTGTCTAGGAAGGTAAATGAAAAATCAACAAACATTAAACAGCTTTTTAACTGATCTTAACTTGTACAGTATTAGGCAAATCGCTATGTGTTTGCTATTATCTACACGAGGAGTCAGAAATACTTACTTGCTTAGTTGGTTCTCTTCTACCCTGGGGTGTGGTGTATTGGTTTGCCAGGGAGATCGCCAGATTTCTCTATCAATAGTTTTCTTTTTGGCTGTGTTCCATTCCAGTCAGGGACTGTCCGATGTAATTTTCTCAGCGAACCTGGATTATCCTGTAGGTCTCGTTCCCTGCTTCTTGGTCTCCCATGCATGCAAGGGTGGTTGATTCTCTCCTTTTGCATATATGTCCAAACTATTGTAACTGTGACTGATCCAAATTGAGTCTGAGTCATAAATACAGCTACAATTTCTGCTAGTAATTTTTCCAATCTGCTTGGTATGGCCTAAATATTTCTGTTTCCAAGACATGATGCAGTTTACTAGAAACATTTCCTTCACGTTCAGATCTTTAAGGATGTCCATATTTCTATACTTCTTGGTCCATGGTATTCTTAAAATGCCTATTTAAATGTTTTTTAAATCTTGTCCCCTATCCAAATATGACACTAACAATCACTGCTCCAAATCAATGATAAAAGTTACAAATTTACAGGTCAGTGAGTGAACTACAAAAAGACAGTAAAGTTCATACCAAAGGCAACATTGGCAAATACGGATAATCTATTTCAAACAAATGAAATAAGAAGAAGAAGAAAAGTTACAAACTTTCAAGAAAAGAGTGAGTCTAAAATATGCATCCAGAAGTGACATAAACAGGGCTGACTGCAGTCAAGAAAAATCCAATTAACTGCAACTAAGAAACCTAATGAGAGTGGAAAGGAGAAAAACACACACCAGGAAAAATTGCACATTTTGGTAGCAGGCAATACTGACAAAAAAGCATAACAAGTGGGATCAATACTTCTAATTCTTTAATCTGATTATTAGTACTATTATTACTGTTTTCATTCCTTTATTTGAGCTGTTCACATCGCCTTTTCTTCTTCCTTTAATTTATAGTTTTTCACATACGTCCCCAGTGGTCAGGATACTCTCCGCTTTGTTGTTGATTTTTGTCAATATAGGCTGCTGCAACTGGATTGAAACGGACCGCCGTGCATGGAGAGTCATGACCTCTGCCCTATGTGCCGCACTCGACACAAGAGGAAAGACTAACTAACTAACTAAGGCTGCTGCAAAATCGGAAAATTGTACCTGTGTTTTTTTTTTACCCTTACCACCTACATTAAATGTTATAGTAGTAGTCTGTTTGATTTGTTTCTAAATTGAGCACCAGTAAATGATTTTCTTTCTACAAATTCATAAATTATGAAAAATATTAGACAGTCAGATTCGTTGCAAGGATTGTTTATAGCTTACCTTGGCAGCCCAGTTAATGAGCCATTTTGGAATGTTGCCTTTTGGATTATCGTAGTATTTCATGAAAGCTGCAGAGGGAAAGCAAATAAGATAACGACAGAGAATACTGGGACATGAATAAATGAATGAATCAAGAAGTGAAATCACTGTACTTGGGACATTCTCACTTGTGTTATGTCTTCTGGTGACAGGTTATTATCATGGGAGAGGGCTGCATGGTCTCAAGGTATGGTGTCTGCATCGAATGCTAGAGGTTCTGGGTTCAATCCCTGGTAAGGGCTGGGATTTTTTCATGTGAACTGGGACTTCTAGTAAATGGAGTTAAAAATCTACCCAAAGTATTTCAGGATCCTCACGGGTGCTGCAGAGCCTGTGGACTGTGCTGAGCTTCTTTGGACTCAGACTTGAGTTAGAAGAAGAACGGAGCACTTTTGGGTTACTATGCTTGTGCGCTGATGTTGATGTTGAGCTATGGAGTTTGTGCTTTATGAGCCAATCCTCTTGACTTTAAATTTTTTGGGGGGCCGGCTGAGAGGAAAACGCCAGCTGAGAGGAAAACGCCAGCTGAGAGGAAAACGCCAGCAGAGAAGAAAATGCCAGCTGAGAGGAAAATGTTAGCAGAGAGGAAAATGCCAGCAGAGAGGAAAATGCCAGCTGAGAGGAAAATGCCAGCAGAGAGGAAAATGCCAGCTGAAAGGAAAATGCCAGCAGAGAGGAAAATGCCAGCAGAGAGGAAAATGAAGAAACAGAGAAACAGGAAGGCAGACCCAGAAAAACTAGATGAAAGAAAATTTTGGGATGTCAAAGATGCATCAAATTCATAGATTATTAATTTATCTGCATGTTTATCTGTTCATCCATCCGCCTATCTACCAAATCATTGATAAGCCTCTATCTGTTATCTGATATTTTGATGCAGTGTGTTGCTATATAACATCACTCCAGATGTTTAGAAGTCGAATCCTTACCCACGACCCACACACACTTAGAAGTGAAAACGGACTGTCAGCTGATTTGTGACAAATTATGCAAAGGTATGGTTTTATAAAAGAATGATGAGAATATGAACAGATTTATAATTAAAAAAAATTTAAAAAACTGGTCAAGTCTTTCACTCATGAAAAACAGTGATTACCCACCCGCATCTGAAGAAGAGAATCCTCATTCTTTGGGATTGTCCAGGTAATGTGTCAAATGGATGGGAAAAGAGGCAGAGGGAGACCAGGAACAAATTATGAATAACAGTTTGGCTTCACTGCATGAAAGAACATCTGTATCAGAACTGATGAACACTACACTAGACAGAAGGCTGCGATCAGACATAATTACCAATGCTTCACAGATTGGGCTATAAAAAAAAGGTCGGTGTTGCTTATATCATTATATTTGGTTTAGTTTGAGATTTCTACATAAATCCTTACCTGTGTTCCTCTGACTCTGTTTAGTATTTCCAGGCATAAAAATTTCATTTCTACTTTCCTTATTATTTCTATAAATAACCACATGGAAATTACTACTACTTTTTGTAAGTAATATGTAAGGAAACAACCCTTTTCATGCCTGCAGCATAATGGCCTATCACCAAACAGGCACTTAAATGGGAAACAACAGACTAAGGAAATATGGATATGCAAAAGAAATCCTAAGATGATCGGTGATGAGCGAGGCTAAAGACACCGGACTGGATTACATATTAGAAAAATTTTACAGTATAGACTAAAATGGAAGAACAAACCAACTGCAAGCCTTATGTAACGAATAATGGCATTAAGGATGGTGATGATAATATACATATCAAAGTATCCAATGTGTGGCTGGAAAAAATAGGTAATTTACCCAGAGGTGTGAAACCCTAGTCCTATAATATATATAATAGTTTCTAAAGTAATACCTATTCAATACATACGCAGAAAATATAAGAGAAATGTCAAAAATGACCAGACTTGTGACTAATGATCCGCTTAAAATTGGTGGCAACCCTATTCCGGAACTCCGCTACGCAGATGACACAGTCCTCCTTTCGAACAGCGTAAAGGGAATAGAAAATTTAATATTGTCTGTCTAAAAGCATAGTGAAGATCAAAATCTGTTCTTGAATTTAAAGAAAATGAAAATAATGTCCACAGATAAAACTGGCTGTCACCCAAAAATAAAAATAAATGGTGAAGAAATTTAAAATTTCACAAACTTTGAATATCTAGGCTCTATAATAAATAGCAATGGAGACTGTTTGATAGAAATTAAAAGGAGGATGGCCATAGCAATGCAAAGATTAACAGCCAAAAAAGTCTACGGTTAAGCACCAGCAAGGAGATCAAAATTATAATTTTGAGAGCATGCATCTTCCCCGTAGCAACATATGGATGTGAGTCGTGGGCTATCTCCCAGTCCTTAAGAAAAAGAATATGGGCTTTTGAACTGAAATGCAATAGAAAGATTCACAGAATATCTTGGACAGAAAAGAGGAGAAATACTGACATCTTGAAAGATCTGAACATCAAGGAAGACTGGCTAATAAACATCATCCTGTCTCAGAATCTGAAATATTTTTCTTATATCAAGCGCCAAATTGGAAAGAAAAAATTATAGCAGAAGGCATGGTACCAGGAAGGAGGGGCAGGGGCCGACCAACATTAAGATGGGCACAGGATATAAGTGACTCCTTGAGTATGAAAGTGCATGAGGTGGGAGAACTGGCACGAGACTGAGTTTCTTTCAGGCAGACCGTGATGAGAGCCATGTTCTGCAAAAAACCTGCTACATGATGATGATATATATATATATATTTATTTGTTTCAAGAAGAATGAATGCATAAGTATACAACCTTTTGTGCCAGATTTCCCATCTGACCACAGAGCAACACTTTGTAAGTAATCATCCACTCTGACAATGCCACTGCGCTCTGGTATAGATGGTGAGCTCACAGACTTGGCCAGAATGACCCACACTTTCTGTCCGTTTTTATCCATCACTTTACATTCTCTACCATAGACATACTATCACTTGTAATAAGGAAAGATAACATATAATTTGTAGTTTAAACAATGATGTGTTAGAAGTTTTCTTGGGCTCAGAAATCATTCTTTGACCCCTGCACTAGCTACACAGGACCTAAATATCATTAGATTAGAAATTATTTATAATTTTCAGAAATAAATAAAAACAGTTCTTTATTAATTTCCTAACCCAGCTGATGTCACAAGACAGTCCATCACTTTAGAGGGTTGTAAGACTGGGTTTCCCTGCTTTTTGATGCTTTTAACAACCCTAAAACATCTACAACTGACCCCAACCCCAACCCACCTACATCCGACAAGAGAGTGCAGCCTAGGTCCCACGATTTGCATGCAGCCTAGGTCACACGACTGCATGCAGCCTATCTACCACCCCCTGAAATATTAGACTGTCCCATAACCTGTGGATTTTCCCTGTTTGGGGTAGGATATTAATAAAGCATCAGTTATGCTGCTTCTATGTAACACTTTTTAACTTATCAAGTCCTGTTGGGGGTTTTCCTTATGCAAATCCATCATCCTGATTGTGCTATAACCTGTGTAGACTATTATTTATGACTGGGTTGTTCTCCTTATATCCTGTGTTCTAACAGTCCTCATGAGTTATTGTGTCTTGTCTTGTGTCTCTGAGATCCCTATTCTTTGTTGATTGTCCATCATCACCTCGTGTGGGGTCCTGATATGGGTCAGGTCTACAGAGGCTCTGTTCCTGGATCCTGAATCATCTTTAAAAGTGTGGCCAACAGAGCCAGAATGTCCTTAAAGTGTCTCTCTCAGTATGCAGATGATGAGGAGAGGATAGGCTGACCATAATTTGTTAAACAGGACTTTACTAGAGATTATTTTTTATTTTTCTACGTTCTTCCTTAAAAGGGTGGTTCTTGTTCATCTTCTTCTCATTCACAGGCTGTAATCTCAGGTGGAAAGCTCTGGTTAATGTCCACTTTCTGACTTTAGTCCTGCTCCAGTTTTGCGTGCACATCTCTTTTACAGTTTTGGCTTATTTGTATGCTGACTTTTGGTTCCTCACTTCTCCGATAGATGCATTCCGACTTCCAAGGAAAAACCCCAGATTAGTTGACTCCTATAACATGCTCTTTAGAGCAGCCATGAGACTATTTTTTTTATTCCTGACAATGGGGCCCTGGAACCCACACAGGCTAAAGGGTGGTTGAGATTTACATGTAGGTTGTGAGATCTAAGCCTTTCTGTCCAACACGTCTAATAAAAAAAAAAACTAAGGAATCATGGGTGCATGATTACAATACTGAGTCAAAATGAATGATGCAAAGCATACATTTGTAGGCTAAAAGACCCTTTTTATGCCTTTAGTGCATCAGGCTTATAGTAGTTGTATATTTTTACAGACCAATCGTCACTCAATGTGTGATATGGTCAACATCATGCCTTTACTTCCCAGGACACTGCCTGGTAAACATTTTAGTTTGGGTAGACCTGGCAGCGAAGGTCAAGTCTGTTGCGGATTTGAACACTTGTATGCTACATGTCTTGAAGAACTGACATTGTGATGAGACAGATGTACTAACATTGGCAGAGATTTATCATCATGTAGCAGGTTCTTTGCAGGTTGCCACTTCCTCCTTAGCTCCCGAAAACACTTGCTCACAAACCAATTGACTTGCCTCATGAATTTTTAATGCCAGTTTGTCTTTAATTCCATGTGTCACTAATGTCCATGTTGTTCAAGCCTCTAGCAGAGACTATGTTGAGCAATAAAGGGGCAATGTGTGCACAATAAATTACTGGTATCCAGATCTGAATCTCATTTACTTTTTTTAATATCAGTTGGTAAAGTATTTACTTTCACAGGATAGAAAAGAATGGAGGAATTAACCGCAAGCTTACTGATGTATAAACGGTTTAACAGGATTGTGACGCTGATAAATATACTAACTTCTGTTTCTTCTGCCTTTCTAGCCCCCAATGGAGCAGAGGCCCTTCAGCCTACTTACGCCAAGTGGTTCTATCTTTTGCTATCGCATGCAGCTCTCCCCTTCTTTCTAACTTCAACTCCATTCTTCATGTGTTTTTTGGCCTTCCTTTATTCCTATGCCCCTGTGGGTTCTAGTGCAAAGACATTCTATTTATATTGTTCTCCGGTCTTCTCAAAGTGTGTCCTATCCAACGCCAGCGTCTTTTCTTCTCTTCTTCGTCCACTAGAGCTTGCTTAGTTCTCTCCCAAACCTCTACATACAATTATACTAACTACCCTTAACAAAAGGCTAGAGGAATCTACTGTTGTTTACAGCCTTAGAAAAATCATTAACACAACATTTGAATCTACTCAAATATAATCCAGAATTGCTACAAATCTAAAGGATACATCTCTGTTCCACAGGGGGAATGGAAAGTTGACTTCCCAGTATATGAGATTACGACCCTCACATTCTCTTATCTCTAACTCTGGAAAAAAAAAAGTTTTTAAAAACATTGTCAGTTTTCTAAAGGCAACTGATATACTACCAACACACAGTGTACAGCAATGGTTTCAAACCACCACAAACTGAATCTCACCACTAACAAAATTATCGTCATCATCACGTCTTATCAGCTGGTCTGTAAAATCCCCATGCTCTGGCCATACATTCCAACTCAATTCACTATCATTTTCAGGCACCATGAAATGCTACGCAGCAGGGCTTTTTGTGTTTTTTTTTTTTGGCAGTATGCAATCGTACATAGTATCAGAACTTTTTTTTTTTAAATATCTTTTTTCATCTTTACTGTAATATAAATTTTGTGGTGAGTGCATAATTTTTTCATACAAACTTTGTGGTGAGTATGGCATCTTTTTAAAACAAAACATTACATTTTGTAGAGAGTTTTCACATCTTTTCTCTAGAAAGAAAAAACCCCTGCTATGCAGTAACTTTCCCCTCTGTCTGGTTCTGTTTCCATCTACCAGGTACTACAATATGCCCCCTTTTCCTCTCCAAGCCCCCTTTTCCTCTCCACGCCCCCTTTTCCTCTCCACGCCCCCTTTTCCTCTCCAAGCCCCCTTTTCCTCTCCAAGCCCCCTTTTCCTCTCCACGCCCCCTTTTCCTCTCCAAGCCCCCTTTTCCTCTCCAAGCCCCCTTTTCCTCTCCAAGCCCCCTTTTCCTCTCCACGCCCCCTTTTCCTCTCCACGCAGGTCAAAGAAAGAAAGCCACCCGAAAAAAAAATATGTTGAAAGAATAAGACAGTTGAGTGAAAATAACAGGGAGGACATGGGGGAGGGGGGAGGGGACTGCAAGAAGTAGCACAAGACAGGTGACAGTGTGAGTTGGTTGCTCCAGCTAGGGATAATGGCTTGCTTGCTTTCTTGTTGTACCCCACCAGGACATCACACATGCGATAAACACCCGGTGACACAAAGTGCACCATGCAAATGAGGGTCACCAATGGAGAGGTCCCAGAAATCCCCTTCAGCCATTATGGCCACATTTGTGGCCCAGCTGTATTCAGCACCCCCCCGCAAAAGCCATGGTGGGGCTTCAAATAATGAAAAATTGCATCCTACAAGGGAACGACTGGTAGAAAAGGGGATAATGGGCAGGAAAAAAAAAAGAGCCCATACAGTCTTTTAAAAACAAAAATTGATGAAATAATTATACTGAACATGACATGGACAAACAATGTGACATTTAACGCTAAATGAGTCACTGGATGAGGAAATACATTTACTGCTGCTTTTGCAGGAAAAGCAACAGTTAGTGAGGATTAGTGACCTGATTAGTCAGCATCCTGGACAGATCCACATGTGCTCTGATCTCATGCTCATTGGTTCCAGAGGCATAGAATGACTGATCAAGTCTGCTGATTAATCAACTTGTGCTCTTAATGAAACAACATCAGTAACAGAGTTCAAATAAAAAATGTTTTCACTAACCAAAGAATTCTGGATGAAATCACCAAAGGAAGCCATACCTCATACCTTTAGCATAGGTATCCCACTGCTTGCGATACTCTAAATCCATGTACACTTGTGCACAAACATCTGGCAGGATGTCATCCAGGTTTCCATATAATTTATACTGGTATAAGCCAGAGCTCTGAAAGCATATCAGGTATAATCAAATAATGTACCCACTTAGGGGGTGGGGTGGGTGTTGTAAACTGTCTTAAGGATGTTGCATAGCAACCCTAGGATTAAATAGCTGTAGTTTTATTAGACAATTTAAAGTTCAGTAGTTTTGCCATTGCTTCCTGAAGGGTCATCGCTATTCTCTCTTCTTTTGTTTGTCCTACTGCTTATGCATCACAAAGATGAGTCAGATGTAGTTTCCTGTCTTTTACTAGTTGCGTAGCTTGTGTTAATGTCTGTAGTGTCTCTTTTACTCTCTCAATTCATATCTTTTTTGGTTGGCCTCTTGACCTGTAGCCTGCTGTTTCCATGTTGTACGCTCAAGCTGCTGGCTGACTGTGTTCCATTCTTACCAGATAACCAAACCATTCAAATCAATGCAATGGGTCTGTTGTCAAATCACCTGCAGCTGAATTAAACCAAATTTGTCAAAATTATTAAACTGCATTTGATAACCCTTAAGCCACAAATGCCGACACAAGTTTATATTTATTCACCTGGAAATGTTACATGCACCTTATGTGTGGCTATAGTTACCATTGAGGTAAAGGCGGTGCCACAGAAATTACTGGTAATCTGGTAATCTTAGTTTCAGTTTCATAGCAAACGAGTCAACCCATAGTTGCTCTGCTCCTATGCCAACAAAAAACACATAGAATGTTTATCATAGTCCCTTGCGGAAAGATTGACAGACTACTGTCTTGGTATATTTAGCATACACACGTATTAAAAGCATACAGTAGCCATCCGAAGTGCAAACACAAACAGTCCGACATTAGAAATGCAGTTCATCATGAATGGTAGCAGGAGTCACCAACTGATCAGCAGTTGCACATGCAATCAATTTTAATCCCATAATGGCACCACCAATATTGCAACAACAGGCATCGCACCATTTTCTGAATCTACAATTCACACCACCACGTTGGTCACAGTAAAAAAACATTCAAAATGAAATCCGCAACTCACAGTGTCATGCCATGCACCCCACTCAGAAAATGGGCGACAAAAATATTTACGTTCAGTCTACAAATGGAGCAAAAATGCAACAGCTACCGTCTGGCAGAAGCAAAAAATTTGCTCTGAAATATTAGACTGTCCCGTGACCTGAAGATTTTCCATGTACGGGGTAGGATATTAATAAACTGACCTCAAAATTGAACCCAAAACATATTATGTCAGAGACAAAATATATAAATTTGTGGGACATCAGGAGCCTTTCTTGGCAGTGGTGAAACATCGCAAGCTAGCTTGGTTTAAGCACGTGGTGAGACATGATTCGATTGCAAAGACTGTTTTTCAAGGAACACTGGTGGGGTGGGGGGAGTATTCGAAGAAGAGGAGGGACAAAGAAGAACCTGGAATGACAACATCAAGAAATGGACAGGACTAAGTTATCATACATTTATTCATCAAGTGGAAGACAGAGAAAGATGGCGGGTTTTATGTGCCAGTACTTCCATCAATACACCTTCACGACTCTAATGGGTCAAGGGTTATGTTATGTATGTAAATAAACCAAATCTTTAAAGAAATGTGCTAGCAAAACTGAAGAGCTGAGATAAGACCAAAGTCCACAAGTGGAAGAACAACTAGAACTTTCTAAGTTTACAGCTGGTGAATGTGGTGAAAAAAAGGAAAAAGATTTAATAGATCTGAAAATACCTCATTATACATTCTGTAAATAGTAACTCCATGTGACTCCACAAAAAACTCCCATCCTTCCACATCAGGCACATCCACCTGGTCTAGTATCTGCTGGAATTCTGAGTCAGGGAAAAGTCCCTGTACTTCTGTTGCCATAGCTGAAACAAACAATGCAGGCCTAATTAACTCTTTTGGTACCACTTAGGTTTAATAGGAGATATGTGAAATGAAGAAAAAAACTATAATGAAAAATCATTAATTTATTTATATTCAAACTGGCAATATACAGAGCCATAGAGACCATTTGGGGAAAACAGATTTCTTAGTATGTTCTGATCAAATTAAAAAAATATAAGAGGACATTATGCTGTGGAGTGAATTCAAGGAGTAAAGTTATTTACACACCAGATGTTGCTTGAGCTGAAAGAGGTAATTCTAACTCACAATATAAAAAAAAAAAAGGAACAAAAATTCTGATAATGCAATTTCTTGTTGTGAACTTAAATAATGAGGACAAACAATACATTTTGCAATTTACTGTCTGACATATTTCGTGGTATTTCACCATGAGCATGACTTCGGAATCTACACCAATGTCACCTTCCACAATCAACTGGGAACTGACTGGATGGATTATTGAAGTTGCAATGGCATTAGGCCTATTCTGGCCCGCCAGATCAAAGGCCTAGGGTTCAAATCCGCATTGAGATAGATATTTCTTAAAACTGATCTTGGCTTCCAGGCTGACCTAGGCTAAAATGGCTACCAGATAATATCTTAAAAAGTAAAGTCAGTTGGCATGATGCTGACCTAATCACATATCGAGTGCTAATTGGTCTATAAATATATGAGTCTAATAAAGGTAAAAGTGAGACCTTCGACTTCATTGCACCAGATTTTATCCTATATGGCTCAGTCTCTCTCGCAGAACTGCTAGCTGCCTGCTGAGGGGATCGTACAGAGCACAACCTCTGTAACTCTTGTGACGATTACCAGGGATCTCTGTAAAAATTGGACTTATGAACTGAAAGTCGCCACTGTAAAACAAACCCATGATCCTTCACAGCATGAGGCAAATGGCTTAACCACTTTGCCATCCAGAGTCTAACATCCCATACCTGATGAACCACTGGCATAAAAATTGGTCTTGTACTTTAATTTAATTACTTTAGAAAGGCAATTGCACGTTTGTATAAATAAATGGGCGGAGACACTAAAGATGTGGCCATGGAGTCAAAGAGGACAGACAGCATTTCATCCAAAACTTTAAGACCAATGCTCAAGACTAAAAGAACTACAATTCAACTGTCAGAAATTAGATAACTTGGTTGAAAAAAACACACAACATCTTTTTAAATTATTTCAGTCCCAAAGCCCTTGTTACTTACATGATATATGAAGTAACGAATATATTCTCTGAAAACTCAAAGACCAACTTGTATATCAATTATAACCTTGAGGATTTAACATGATATTTTTCCCATGTGGGGTAAGGAGTCCCATTGTGGGGGAAAAAGAATAGTCCCACTGCCCCCCCCCCCCCCCCCCCTCCAATAAGCAGCTAATTAGGGATGTTTCCTTTCAAGTCAGAGGCATCTATCTGAGACGTGAAGAATCAACAGTTTGCATATAAATATCGGCTTTCCTCCGAACTTCGGGCACAAAAGATGTCGGCCACAATATTTCCTTTTGGACCTTCAATCACGTGACTTAATTTGCGGTTTTCT